CAACATGGATTCTCCGCCCCCCCCCCCTCCCCCCTCTGCCCTATTCCCAAGGTATATCGTCACGCATACAGGATTTTTTTAGATGCAATATCTCCGGCCCCCCTGCCACCCCCCTGTTCGCTCCAAGGTGGTCGTTGTCCGCCGCCGCCGGTGCCCCCTCTCCCGGTCCCCATGTCGCCCAACAATTCTCCGCCGGGATCCGTTCCCGCAGACAAGCCAGCCGACAGCCCTCCCGGCGGCGATCCACCGCGTGCCGCGCCCCCTCCCCCGGCGTACCCCGGCAGTGGCACCGCTGCGTTTTTGAATTTCCCGCCGCCGCCGCCGGCACCGACCATTTTCAAACTACTATTACCCCCACCAAAGCCGCTTCGCTGCGGCCGTGTTTGCTGTCCCCGGAGAAGCGATGGATCCGACGTGCTCGGGGCCAAGGGATCCTGGCCCCCTCGCGAAAGCGGAACGCCTCGCCCCCCTCCTCCTCCTCCCCCCCCACCCCCACCTCTTCTAGCGATCGGGGGGGACCCTACTCCCGCCCTTGACGGCCCGCCGCCATGGTGCTGGCCGTTGTTGCTGCTCGCAAACTTGGGGGAATGGCCACCCGCCGCCACGCCATGATTGTTGTTGTGGCCCGCGGCCCCGGTTCCTCCTCTTCCTCCGCCGGCTGCTGCTGTCCCCGGCGCAGACGACGAGTGGTTCAAGTGGGGCCCCGGCGCCACGTCCACCTGCATCGTGTCCAGCAGGGAGCTCCCGCCGCCGCCCTCCCCGTCGCCGCAGAGGATGGCCCACTTGGTCCGGAGCGCGGAGGCCTGTGCGCGGGCGCGGCGGACGTCCTTGTCGGCTTTCGTTCTGGTCCAGTCCAGCTTCGTTCGGAGCTCCATGTACTATGTTTAGGGTTCGATCGAGTTGGGGGAGGGGGGGGGGGGGGGGGGCGAAGGGCCACGCACAGTGAGATGAATAACATTTTCGGTGGGTGGCCGAATTGGAACCCAGGTCTTCTAGCACCAAAGTCAGACACGGGACGCCAACACATCATCATCAGAAGAGAGGAAATCGATCGTCGTCGACGGATGTGAGCCTTTTCTTGGTCGTCACCTTCACAAGCGTGATGCTAGATTGGGGCCGAATAGTGTGTGTATGTTCACCTTCTCGTCCATCAGACGCAGCTGGTCTTCCAATATCTTCGAGCCCTCCCGCAGCTCCGTCGTCACCCTGTCCTTCGCCTGATTGCTGCGTAGAAGGGCGGTGCTCCTAGCCTGGAGCGGACAAAGAAAAAGCGAAACATTGTTAAGAAAGCGACAATAAAATACAACTCGCTAAGATTGCGTAGTCCGGTGGAGATACTATCCCCCCCTACGGGGTAATGGAGATTGGAAGGTTCAGAGCGTCCCGCGCGTACGCCAGCTAACGCTTTGACGAGGTCATCATCAGCATTCGCCATGTTTTGAGTGAGCAAGACGTGTGCAGCGTAGCTCGTGTGAACCCTTTGGAGTATGTGGTTTCAAACGCTCTTGACGCTGAACAGCTACCCCTTCTGACTTCACAGTCGAGAAGACCATAGACTCATCGAGGCAAACAATGTAGAGTATGAGACACTCGCCTTAACCAGCTCCAGCTCTTTCTGCAGGCGCCGCTGTTGTTCGTGTGCCTTCGCCTTCTGCGTCGCCTCGTGCTTCAGGAACATCATGAGCTTTTCGATGTGGTCGCTCAACACTTGAACCTGATCGGTTCCGCGAAATGACACCCACACAAACACGCAGCATGCGGCGTTGTTTTGTCACAGGAACTCCATGCATCGAGGAGACGCGCTCGGCAAGGGCAACATCAGCAACAACGGTGGAAGAGATTCAACATCGAGATTGAAACCCACGACAGAAGCCCGGCCGATTTCGATCTTCGCGTTTGCCGAACACCACCGTCATCTCAAACGAACCGGTCCCGACAAATACGCCCCCCAAGGAACCAGCCGTGGTTCAATCACCCCGCCGACTCAATCAATGACTCCGCCGCAGGTATCGCAAAAAAGACCTGCGCCCATCTCCGCCCCCCCCCAACCCCACCGCGCTCCTCGCAGTAAGGCCTTTGTCTTCAAATATTATTGCGCACAATGTTTCTCAAAGAGTGCGCAAGGTGTGCATACATCTACGAAGGCTCGTCCAACCACTGCTGCTGCAGCCGGTACCTTTCCCGCGACCTTCTGCGTCTTCCGCTCCGCCTTCAGCCGGGCGGATTTCTCGTGCCTCAGCCTCTCCACCAGCTGGGTAGCCTTAACCTTGAGCGCCATGATGTCCGCCGTCGCTACTCCGATCGTGACGTCATCGAGACCACCACCACTGTTCACCACAACTCCTACTCCGCCGGCGACCCCGCCACTGCCACTTTGCCCGCTGCCGCTTTGATCACCACCGTTACCGCCACTGTCCAGCTGCCGCTGGAGAGACGCCGCCCTCGCCGACTGCGCTCGGCTCTCCTGGCCGGCGCGCGCGAGGTCTCGCTCGAGGGACTCCACGCGCTTCTCGAGCTCGGCTCGAGCGATGGACTCGACCTTCACCGCAGCGGCTGCTGCGGCGGTGGCTTCGGCCGCGGAAGACTTTCTCCTCCTGCTACCACCCCCGCCTGCGTTGTTCTGTTTCAAACAGTTGTTGTTGTACGGAAGTGCGGTGGTTTTGTGGAAAATGATCCACACGAAGTTGGAATACTAGTCTTTTGATTGTCATTGAAAAATTCGCTTCTTGTGCAGCTGGGCATCTTTGTTTTTTCTTCGTCGCGGACATCGGTGTTCCACAAGCACAGCGAGTAGATACCATATGGTATGCGCGTGCACACCTTTTCTGCCTGTTTGTACCCTTGAGACTCCGCCAGGAGCACCAGCTCGAGCAGGGTCCTCTCTGGCTTGTCCTCGCCATCGGCTAGAGATGAAAGCATGACGGCCCTGACGACGGCCGGAAAGTAAGGCAGACGGGGGCAATAGCTTGACCAAAAGAAACACGAAGGCCCGAAAGACAAAAGCCTCCCTCGATTGGTCAAAACCAAGCGACAAAGTCGCAGGTTTTTGACACTACACTGTCACTCCGGTGGGAACATTCAGAGTCGCAGAAAGTGCGCGTCATTGTACTTCATTCCGTAAATGCGCAACCAACTGACAGGTGCAAGCCTAAACCTCCTGTCGGCGGTCGGTCATGCCCTTCCTTGATCTCCAAGTTGTGCTGAGTAACTGCTTGTCTTTCACGACTAGTCACATGATCAAGAAAACAACGATTCGTGAACATGATTGAGAGGACAGAGGGGTAAATACTGTCTATTCAACGAACAACTTCTTTCTCTTGTATTTTCTTGCCCAGTGAAAACATCAGGTTTTTTCCTTCTCCCTCTGGATTCAACCGCAAGGAGGGTACAATGGCGTGTTGCTGTGAAGGTGTCAACCACAACAAAGTAGACACAAGCAGCACTTCGGCGCAGCGGAGGCGGTTCATTCCACGTCTCCCAACGGAATTCTTCATTTATTTGAGCACTGGTAGAAGATTTCGATTATCGAATCGTTACACAACACGAACATTTCCCTTGTGTGCGTCAGGACTACCGTAGATACCCAGTTCAACTCCGCTTGAGCGTTTCCCGAGTCTCACCTTGCTGCCTCAACCTGGTGCTTGAGAACCTCGAGCTCCTTCTTTGCGCCGCCGTCATCCGCCGAGCCCGGCGTGGCTGCGATGTTCTGCTCCGCCGCCTCTCTCAGGCGAGCGTTCTCCAAGTTTGCACGCCGCAACCGCTCCTCAAGCTCCGTCACCGGCGGCAAGGAACCCATCGGGCGGTCTTTGTCGTCGACCTCTCTAACCACGCCCCGCGCGCCCCCGGGGTTGGTTGTGGCATCGCGGTCGTTGCCCATGCCGTCGCCTCTATCCGAGGCGCTTTCTTGGCGATGTCGATCCCCGTTCTTACCTCCAGCTGTTCTAGTGTCGGCGCTGCCCTTGTCACCACCGTTGGAATTTCTTCTGTCGGGCTGGTTGAACGAAGGAGAGGGCGACGCTGTGACGCCGGCGGCGGCAGCTGGGTCGTCCGCCGATTGTTCTCCTCGTTCCTGTTGCCGGTTCGTCTCGTTTCCGTCAACGTTGCCGGCGGCGGCGACGCCCGCCGCATCGGGTGGTTTATCCGAGGACAGCGGCGTGGAAACCACCTCTTCTTGCGCTGGCGGAACGATGCTGTCATCGTCGGCAAAGTCGTCTTCGGCGTACGAAGACAGACTGTTGTTGTGTTCGTCCAACGCTCCTCCTCCTGTTGCTGTTGATTCCCCCCCCACCGCCTCGTTCCTAGCTTCGACTTCTCCATCTTCTGCAGCTGTCCCCGTAGTCTGCGTCTGGGAGCCGTCTGCGGTCGTTGGGCTGTTGGTGCTGGAACGATCGTCTTCGCCAAAGCCGTAGTCCCGAGAGTCATACTGTTGGTCGAAGGTCGTTTTTGTTTTTGGCGATCAGTTGGATGGAGACAGGACCGGAAAGGTAGAAAGAGTACATAGAAAGCTGAAGAGGCGGAGTTATGTTGGCGGGTGGGGTTTGGCAATGGGTGCATGTGATCGCTCTTGTTATTGTGATGTAACTGGTACTTATTTATGCGCTGCTATGCACATGTTGCAGTGCAATGTCTAGACGCTTGCACATAGGCTGAAAGAGTTGTATCCAAGAAAGAACTACCAGTACACAGCAATTTGTCTTACATAACTAGTCTAAACAACGGCAGTGATCAGTCTTTCTTGTGCATTCCGACCTGGTATTAGTCAGTAGTTGATCAACCCGTTATCATGTGTGTGGCGAATTTGAGGGATGATAATCTTGCTTTGAAATGCGGGAAAATGACAGCAGTGAAGGCGTACTGCAGCATCAGTCGGCTTCTACACGTCCGGCCCCCACCTCGCTCTCGGCGGCACTGCACTTGCTCTGATCGTCGAAGTCTTCCGAACCGTACGCACTACGGTCATCGCCCTCCTCTTCCTCATCCTGGTTACTTTTGGTGACTTTGTCGACACTGCTATCGCCGCCGTTGCCTTCCGCGCTCGTGCTGGCGGAGGCACCGGCGGGGTAGTCACCGCTGCTTCGACTCCCATTGGACGAACCCTGCTCCATATCCTAGATGGTTGGCCACCAATTGCTTAGTCCATTCTTCAGAGAGACAGAGCAGCCTCCATTGCCAACGAAAAACCAGCGTTCGCTGGGGGTGGTTCGCCGAGAGCAACACTAGCTAAAGCGCGTGTGGGTTGCTGGAAGCGTGTGGTCGGCGCCTCTCGTTCTATATTAATTTAAACCAGCCGTTTTCCCATATGATGCCTCCGTGGTTTGAAACCTCCGTTGTATGATTGTGATCCAGCGTAACCCCCCACATAATCTGCCGTCAAGCTCCGTTGTGAGCTGTGCACTGCAACCGGCAAATACACGTCCATTGCACACTCTGCCGTTGTAGCCTCTCTGCACCCGTGGTTAGAGAAGCCATATGGGGTGCCATGGAAGCAAGGAGGAGACGCCGACATGCCAGGCTCCTCGAAAGATGTGGAGATCATTCCCTCCCTCGACGGTGAGACCTGACTCTGTACAGCAGTACTAGTCTACTGCTGTAGCTGGCTTCACAATCGGATCCTTTGTTGTCAACAAGGGAGCGCAGTAGCATCCCACGGTAGGCTGTAGCATGGTACCAGGAGCTTTGCTGTGGAAAGAGAGCATGTTGCTTGTTTATTGGTCCTATTGCACCATGACCAAACTCACCCCTTGGCCAAACATCTGTTATCATCTGTGTCTCGGTGACTACATGTCTAGGCTCGAAGGTCTAGACTGTTTCGCAACAAACGTACTTTTTGATGGTCTAGAGTACGCCTGCCAGATGCTGCGCCGTGAGACCGTTCGTTCGCTCCATAAGCTGTACTCCTTTGCAACAAACACAGCAGTGTTCGCTCTGTACATCCTGCTATTGTGTGCAAGAACCTTCTCTGTGCAGTTTGATACGCATGCACATGAGAGAAGGAAGTGATTCCATGTGAGAAACTTCTGTGCGTGATCTCGGGATTGGTGCTATTGTAGCTCCAGCCGGTGACAGGCAAAGGCCGTTGTTCTGCCCGTGGAAACTTCGAACGATGGTTAAAATGGAATGGGATGGCGAAAAACGTTGGAAAGGAACATTTCCTAGTAAGCACGCTCACGGGTTCTTGCCGACACACGCTCTTTCAAGGCGCTTGTTGCTGAGCTGCTCGACCAGCACCTTACCTGCATCCTTGCCAACAAATATAGGCGGCGGTTTGCTGGCGCCATTTGCCCGCGGTGGCCCCTTCCGAACTCACGGCCACAACGATTAACAGTAGTGGGAATGGTGTGTTGGTGTAGCGGACAGTGCCCTCCATCTCCTCTACGGCTAGGAGTGGCGGCACGACGCTGTTCGAGCACCCGTCATCATGTGTTTGGTCGGTGGATTGAAAGCGGGACGTTGCCATTCATGGCGGGAATCCGTGTGAAAATAGTTTCTCCGCCTTTCAGGGGTCACAGGTCCCACCCACGCACGACCCAAGCAGTGTCGACGATTGCCATAAAGCAGCGGCCAGCGGCGGCCGTCACCGAGCCCCTCCCGCGCCCTGCCTCATATGTTCCTCCGATACCCTTCTTGTGTTGGCCCGCTGAACGCCGGTCGAGGTGCGGTTGTTTTTCTTTGGGAAGCGACACAACAGGGTACCTTTATTAAGGAATAATAAAAACACGCACGAAGACTACCCATTCGTACATACCCTGGTCGAAAAGCGACTCATCTGGGTACATTTGATGCAGCTGCTGCTGTACTTTGTGTTGGACATCGCATCAATTTTTTCAATACTTCGTATATGGTATGTATAGGTATATTGACTTATCGTATCGATATCGGTTATCGAAAACATTTGAACTTTTCGATATTTCGATGTTTCGACATCGATACGAAAATCGACAAGTACTCTACGGAACCCCCACAGCTGCACAACACAGCACACAGCAGCTGCACGCTGTGAAGGGGGTCACGAAATGCGTGCATTGAGCGATAGGTATTGGTAGTAACTGCATCTATTCATCATCTCTCATTGTCGGAGCTTTATTTTTTCTTTTGGTGTGCGATACCGCGAAGCCTTGGAAGCAATATTTCGTATGCATAGTTAGAATAATGAACTGATGAAACTTTCCCCCGGTTTCATTAAGACAACGCCCATCGATGGACACATGTCGATGTACACGTGCATGTCCAGACCTATCGTTGCCAGCCAGTTTCGTCTGACAATCGCACCATCCATCGGTACCAAATTTGTTATACAAGTATTATTCTGTCGTCACCACACTGCACGTCGATATATATATGTATGTATCTCTTCGAACGTACCGCTTAACAGCAGCAGGGGGATGTCGCCCCCCTCCCCCCGCGATCGATACCGCTGTTGTTGCAACAGTACCTTGGCACCTGTTTGACGCGCACCGGGCGCGCGGCGTGCTCCTTTCCGCTCGGGCGGTGGGGCATGTGCTTCCTATTCCTACAACGTCAGTCTAGTTGGCGCGTCTGGCTTGCGTTACGGTAAGCACCATCACCACGAACAACTTCACGAAACAGCAGCCAACGAGGGACGACGACGGGCAGCAGTGACGAAAACAGCAATGGTAAAATAATACCGAAAGAGCACAGGAATCTTGGGCCATGGGATATCCCACGCAAAGTTCGCACGACGCTGACACCTTGCAACCCCTCCCAACCACTTGCCCTACCCGAACCTCAAACCCGAGCTTGGCCCCCCCCCCCTCGCTACCCCCCGGCCCCTCTCCCCCCGGACGCGTTCATGACGTTAGCCGAGCTCGGCGCAACGGCGGTTAATAGAGGGTCTGCAGGACCTCAAGAGGCAGATGGCCGAGGAGAGTGGCGAGAAGGAGTCGTTTTCCTTCACCAAGATCATCCTCAAGCTCGGCACCATCGAGAAGATTCTGCAGCGGATCAACGTAGGTGTCGTATTGGGCAGTGAGAGACAGCTACGTCTGTTTGCTGGTGCTGGTGCTGGTGCTGGTGCTGCGTGCCGTGAGGCTGCATACCTGTATATTCCTCTGTCCCATTTTTTTTTTTTTTTATGCTTGTATAATAACATGACTCTATCCCATCTCTATCCATAGATGATGGTTCAGGACTAGCAGTGAATCCATAGCGTTAGCGAAGGCTGCGATTGCTTGCTGTAGTTCTGGTGAAGAGATCTCTCTACTTCAGAGTAGCTTGCGCGACGAGACAGGAAATCACTGTAAGAAATCACTTTAGATTATGGGAGAGGGCCCAACCAGCAAAGTAAGAACAAAGGTTGGTCTTATTTCATCCGAAGTTACATGCGACACCTTGTTAAAACACTTTGCTTAGATTATGCTATCCATACCCCCATGCCTGGAACATGCGACCTAGAATTTCCAGTTTCGTATGGACAGCGCAAGTATTTGTTGAAGGATATGGCTCCACCGCCACAAAACACAGAGCACAAAGCGCGCAAGTATGTCTAGAATCAAACAAGCGCAGCACTTTTCCCTACAAGCAACACAAGCAAGCGGCGGCATCCATATCGCTCACCGCCCAGGAGCCATCAAAGCTCTCTTGCATGTGAATAAAAAAACCGACAACACAATGACCACAACAGCGTCAACGACGACGACAACAACCACCAACATCAACGACAACAACACCTTACCCGTTGCAATGGTCGCGCACGCACACCCCTTGCGTAACATACGTGATCGCGTTAACCTTACGATAGGCCGTGTTCAAGAGCGTCGATCACGGCAACAAGGGGCACGTGACCAAGGACGAGCTGAAGGAGGGGCTCCACAGGGCGCACGTGGACCTGGGCGACGAGTGGGAGGACACGAACATCGACGACTGCCTGCAGCACCTCCAGGGCAGGGACGACAAGGTCGGGCTGCGGGAGTTCGTGGTGATGCTTGCGGTGGGCCGGGTGTGCCGCCCTCTGAAGCGGGTAAGTCGGCGATTGTAGCTGATTGGTAGGCGTACGTAAGTGAGCGATTGTAGCTGGTTGGTAGCCAAACACGTATATCGGGTTATATATGGTGCATGTGTGTAGGGTAACGCGAGCAAGACCGGAACCCTTTGTCGTCGTCGTCGCCCCCCCTCCCCCCCCCCCCGCGCCTTCACCGTGATTGTTCCGCTCTCCAAGAACCTGGTATGCTCTCACAAACGCTCTGTTTGAAACATAGGGTCCCAGTGCGATATTCACGGACGTTGTATCCGATTACATGTAGCCATTTACATTTTCAAACGGAGTTTGTGCAGCTTGTACGGGACGCGCGCGTTGACTCACTCCAAGAACCTGGTAATGCACAAACGCATTGTTTGGAAATATGGGGGCCCAATGCGATGTTCACTTTTGTATCCGAATGGTCGTTATATTTTCAAACAGAGTGGTGCATGACTGCGCGCCCCTTGTTGCGAAACTGAGAGCCACGCGGCGGGGGGGGGGGGGGGGGTTCGGAAAGGCGGGGGGCTCCCCCCCCCCCCCCCAAAATAAAAAAGGGGGGGGAAAAAAACGGAATAAAAAAGGCTCCAAAAAAGGGAGGAAAAAAAAATCCCGGGAAAAACCGGGTTTAACACAGGGGGGGGGCGCTTAGCCCCCCCCCCCCAAAACCCCCCCTTTTTCCGCGGGTTTTTTTTTTTTT